ATTGGTCCATCTAGCTCACTATTGTCTGACTTGTAGCAGCTTGCCAGGGTCTCAGGCAGCAAAAGATGTCCTCCCCCCCAAAATTTGTTACTTGGGATTCATTAATGGGAGATGCCAGGGACTGAACCACATGAACTGTACCAACTTAACCATGGCCATCTCCTTTAAGTTGCTGGAAAGAATGGGACCCCTCCCCTCCCATCCCCTCCCCTCAACATTTTCAATGGTCACTGCTTTTCCTGGGCCTTTCCAGATGATAGTATTACCATGCAATCCTAAAAAGAGTGACAACTTTCTAAAACCTTTGAAGTCAATGGGCTTAGAGGGGTGTCACTGTGCTGAGGACAGCACTCTCAATGTATTTTAAAAGATCAAATCAGTGTGTTGCTGCACTGTAGAGCTCTAACTTCTGGTGGAAGTAACCTGTGATCGTTTATACCTAGCTACAGTTATGAGCATACTATAATGTCTTGGGGAACACTGCCCTCTGGTGTTATCTAAAGCATGTTTTCAAACCTTGCACAATGAGACTGTGACAAGTGCTGTGCTGGATGATGCCTAGGCTCAGCCAGTACTATGTATCAGGATGGGGGAGGAAAGGGTGACACAGTTTATGCTGTTCACTACAACATTCAGAACTTTTGATCAAACGCATTTGCGTTGTTTCGGGAAGAACGGTGTGCTAAAATGCCTTAAATACATAAATAATGTACATTGGAAGAAAAAGTATGAGCAACGTACTAAGAATATATAGATTTGCAGTTATATTTTCTTCTTTCAACTTAACATTATTTATAGTGGATTATACTGGGCACTGGTTCCAGAAAATATTCCCTGCCAGAGCCCACATACTCGCCTTAGGATCTGCAGTTAGACCAGTGTGGTGTAGTGGTTAAGAGCAGCAAATCTGGAGAACCAGGTTTGCTTCCTAACTCCTCCTCATGAAGCCTGCTGGGCTACCTTTGGCTAGTCACAGTTCTGTCTCTCAGCTCCACCTACTCCACAAGATGCTTGATGTGGGGAGAAGAAGAAAAGGAGATTGTAAGCTGCTTTGAGACTCCTTACAGTGGAGAAAAGTGGGGTATACAAACAAACTCTTCTTCATTTGACAGAAAATAAGCAAGTTGGCCATATAATTTATTATTGTCTCTCAGTTTAAAAAAATCATACTTGATCATATGAGCTTTAATCAGTTAATGAAACCAGTGCCTGCCATCGATTTTTATACATTCACATAGCTTTGTTTCAGATCTGCTATCAGATTAATTGGGGGAGGTACCTTCAACAATAAGATTTTTACATCAATTAAAACCTGGGCTATTTTTTCCCTCTGCCCTGATTCTTTCTGTCCCTGAATATATCTTTGTTGGATTAAAAGAAATGGCACTACTTCTAGTCACATGGATTTCATGCTGCTGCTGGTTTGATTCTTGAGTGAATAGTTTTAGTTGGTATTTACATTTAAATTTTTGTAGTTTTTTTTACAATTGATCACTAGAAGTTGCCCCAGAAGCAGAAACTGTGAGCCTGAGGTATAAATATTTCAACTAAATAACTGCTGCATCCTAAAATATACCAGTAGGAAATAAACATTAAGGAGTCTAAAAGAGAACATGCTTGGTCAAATGTATGTAATACAGTATATACAGACTCATTATAGTTTGGGGTTGTTGTTTTTTTTACTGCTAACAGCAACGTTCAACCTCTGCTTGAAAAACCACCAGCTGAGGAAAGCAGAGAAACCACTTGTGCTGCAGTGACAGAGAGAGACCCCAACCAAGCACCCCAGACTAGGAAGATTTGGGAAGGAAGAAAGGAAAGAAAGATGAGATCCTAGGTTGGAAGAGGAGGGGCAGAGGGAAAAGGCTTAATTGCAAAATCCCTGAACTGTTTTTTGAGGGCAGGTAATAGAGGAAGTGATCGTTAAAAGCGTTAATTTCGACTGGGGTTGCCAGCTCCTGGCTGGTAAATACCTAGAGGTTTTGAGGGTGGAGTCTGAGAGCAGGATTTGGGGGCGGGGAGGGATTTCAGTGGGGAATAATGCCATAGAGTCCACCTTCCAAATCGGCCATTTTCTCCAGGTGACCTGATCTCTGTCGCCTGGAGATCAGCTGTAATCACAGATCTCCTGCTACCACCTGGATGTTGGCAACCCTAGTTCCTGCGCGGGAGCGAATTTGAGTCCCAGAACCATATTTCTTTTTGTTTGTTACGAATCAAAAAGAGGGAGGCAGAGAAGACCCTTCTCTGGAGAACTAATGTGATCTCGGCCACGATCTTAACACGGCTTGACAAAGGGGAGAGGGCTGCCCCTTCTCTTTTCCACCCCTATGGAGTTACAATCGTTACTACTCACCTGGCAATGGCGCCGGAAGCAGGATCTCGCTCTGTGCACTGCCCAAAACATTCCCTCCCGGGAACTGTGATTCAGGCGGAACCTTCAGGCTTAGGCTCCTCACAAACTAAAAACAACATTAAATTTAAAATGGGAGGGGACACAGACACAGGTTAAACTTCCGCATATAGAGCGGAGCCTCCAGCAAAGCGTAAGGGGTGTGTGTGTTCAACTAGGGTGTGTGCTGTCCGGCTTCTCCGCCTTCCTTTCTCTGAAATGTTGAGGGGATGACGTTCAGCTCAACTCAGCATAGCAATCTTTCCCTCACTTTTTTGTAGGGATCTGAACTCCCACATAAGTGCAGCATTGCGTTGCAGTAGGCAGTAGAAATCCGAGAGGTGCAGCTTTTCCCGCCTACACACATGGGGATTCAGAGGTTGGGGAAATAGTGGATTTCTGCCTCTTGGCGCGATTTCCTCTTCCACTTACTTTCAGAATTAGCAACCACCCTGTTTTATGGATGATTATTATGTATTTATATAGTGTGGTCATGGCAATTTTTACAGTTCTATATACCCCCCACCGCCACCACACCTTGATCTGCTTATCATCTGCCCAAGAGAAGAAAACAACACTAACCAGTAGAATGTTCATTCACATGATCAAAAAAATACTGGCGGTTATGTGGCAGTTAATATACAGGTGCATACATCATTCAAGACTGGAATATCTAGGGCAGGGGTCCCCAACCTTTTTGGGTCCACAGACATCTTTGGATTTGATAAATTTAAACCCTGGAGGGCCACAGTGGTTTGGCCACTTTATAGGACTCACAGAGGCAAATTTATTATTTGCTTACATGGTTAAAAAAAAAAAAAAGTGTTTTTTATTATTCTGAACAATATATTCAACAGTACATTCAGAACACATTAATACCATGCAATAATCAACATTCTCAACCCATAAGAGCCTTTTAAAAATATAACAGATCTTTGTAATGAGTTATTCCATTCTTTTTTTAAAGTTTTATTTATCAATTTTCCACTTAATTATCATTTACAAATAATCATCCTTCTATACATTTGAGTCTAGATTTTCCATATTTTGTTAATCCAGTTAAACATGCTTTCCCATCTTTCCATAAATACATTTTCATCTTTCCCTTGAAGAGTTAAACTTAGTTTGTCCATTTCTGCTACTTCCATCAATTTACACAATATTTCCTCTCTTGTGGGGAATTTATCTTGTTTCCAATATCTGGCCAGCAATATTCTTGCAGTTGTCAATATATATGTTAACAAATACTTTTCATTTTGTTTATAATCCTCCGGTATCATATTCAATAAAGCTATTTCAGGAGTTAGGACCAAATTTAAGTTCATAATATCTGAAATTATCTTTTGTATCTTTTTCCACAACGCCACCACATATGATAGAATGTCCCCACGTTTCTTTTACATTTCCAACACATTTTAGACATTGATGGGTGACATTCACTTATCCTATCTGGATACCAATACCATCGGTGATAAACCTTATAGATATTTTCTTTATAATTGGTCGCTCTCATATATTTCAATGTTTTCCATGTATTTGCCCGTTGGTCTATCATATGTCCTATATCTTTCATCCATGCTATCATCCTTGAGCTAACCCTTTCATCTTGTAAATATTCTTGTAGTAGAAATCTATATACTTTCTGAATAATTTAATCGCTTGTTGATAACCAGATCTTATCTAATTGTGTTTTTATTTCTTGAAATCCTACTATCATATCTTTAGCATATCTAGATTTAAATTGCATTACTTCCCACCAAGTTAATTTTATTTTATATAGTTTTAATAGAATGTCTTCTGTTTAAGTTGTTATTCTCATCCAACAATGTTTGATAACTTTCTCTATCGCATGATTTTATAAGCGATGGTTTTATATATGCTTCTAAGGGCGATACCCATTTTGGAGTCTTCCTATAATATTTTTCTTTAATATCATTCCATGTCCATAATAGTGCTCCTCTTATCATGTGTTGTCTGAAATTTGAATGTATCTTATCTTTCCCGTACCAAATATAGGCATGCCAGCCCATACTCAGGTCAACATTCTAGTGTTATCTAAGGTTATCCATTCTTTTATCCAGCCTAATGCAGATGCTTGGTAGTATAGCTTCCAAATCGGTAATCGAAATCCTCTTCTCTTTTCTCTCTTGAAGTTCTTGGGTGCCAAATACATTTTTTTTATCTCTTTATCCATCTCTATGAAGAATTTAGAATTTTTTAGTATAGGTATGTTCTGGGTTAAGAACAAGAACTTTGGCAGTATCATCATTTTTATAGTGGCTATTCTACCCATTAAGGATAGCTGTAAATCTTTCCATCGTGATATGTTTATCCCATTCTTCAAAGAAGCTCAGAGAGACTCACTGTGCCTTTAACAAGGTCAAAATATCAGCTGGTTCAGTTCTCCCAACATGGGGGAAAATCTTTACTTGCTGAATTTTTTGTCCATCATACACCTGTCAGTTAGGATATTCAAGATGTGGAAGTTACATAGTGATGCTGTTGAAGATAGCCTTCACAATGGTTTCCTGGGTAACAAAGCTATTTTAACTTAGCCAGCCCCTGCTTTTGGTAAACTGGGGAGCCAAACCAAAGAAACTGGTCCACAATGACAGAGTCTCAGAAGTGTAATTTCTTCCCTCAAGAGCCATATTATGTTCCTGGGTAAGTCATTACATTCCGCTATATTTTCAGGTGCCAAAGAAATGTATTATAACAAAGAAACATTGAACACTCAAATTAAACTACAGCATTTTTTCCAGTGTGGCTAAAATAAACTGGGAAATTATTTATGTGCCTTTTACATCCTAGTGTAATTTTGGTAGCTGAGTAAATCCCCCAGGTACAGTTGCAGTATGCCATAGCTAGCAGCCAAAGCTGATGAAAAGTGCTGCATGCCATGGAGACCTGAGCCTCCAACAGTAAGCCAGGATCCAGCTACCCATATCAATACCAGGTGTGTATGATTGGGTTTTAACAGTAATATCAGAGATATTTTCCTCCTAAAAAATTAATTGGAACAGGAACATTTCCAGGTAAGAATATCACAAATAGACATAAACATAAACATATATACAATGCACCAGAATTCATGTTCCTTTTCTGAAAGACAATAAATATCAGTGTAAATTCTCCCTCATATCTGTTATTTCATTTCAAGGTATGCAGGGTTTTACCCTCAGATCCGCTATCAAGTTGGGCAGACGTATGGCAGAACCACCTCCCAACTATTGACGGACCCTGAGATCCAAAAAAGTCCTTACTCTGTGCTGGCACCACTGACCAAGCCAAAGTTCATTGAGGATTTCAGCCAAAGGAGGATCCCTGCACATGAGATGATGGATCAGTACCAAAGTTACATCCCTAGATACACAGGTGAAGGTGGACCATTAGTAAAACTGTGGTGTTGGGGGGTTAGTGTTTGGGGGGGTATGTCAGAACCACCCTCTGGGGTTGGCATTATGGGGAAGAGGGCCTACCACCAACCAGAGATGCTTGGCCCATCCAATCCTACTAGAAAAGGAAGATCACCCAGAGACCCCTGCAATGTGCCTGAAGGGAGCAGATCACATCTGGTTCATGCTCATTTTAGCTTTTTCTAAATCATAGACAGGCCTTAAAAGAGTGTAAACGGGTCACATTCTGCTCTCTCCTCTTTAACCAGTTTAGACAAATGAATAGAGAAGGATATGTCCATCAATGACTATCAGCCAGGATAGCTAAATGAAACTTCCATGTCAGAGGCAATATAATTCTGAAGGGCAGTTGCTAGAGGGATATGCCAAAGGAGCAATGGAGAGATAAGAGATGCAATGGGAAGTCTCCTCTGAGGACGTGAATGATTCAATCACACCCAATGAAGAATTACCCACACTCAAAGGATGCTGCTTGCATGAGTTACTGATTGGATCTGGCCACTTTTCAGAGATGCATCAGGCAACCTCCTTTGTGAATGGCTGCTCTGAGACTGTTTAATTAATGTATTCATTGCTGCATGCTGGTGAACCTGGGGAATTACTGGTTTAGCTAGATAGACTGGATTGTTTTGAAATGAAAACTCTGATTATTACAAGCCAAGAAGCTACATAAAATTGTCATGTTCTGCCAGCCCCTCTCCTAGTTTCTGATGAGGCCCGGCTCACACAAAGCTGAAATTATTTTGTTTGTTTGTTTTTCAGGCGCTGTTCCTTATCAAGGTCACTCTCCTCTTCCGTTCACAGAACCCAGGCCCCCTGTACCAAGGGCTGGCCCTCCACCTGCTCCCCAGTCATGGCCCAATGCCAATTTGACACAGCTAGTTGAACAGAGAAAATACTCTCCGTGCCATCCTGGCATCAGATTGTCCTGTGGACCAGGATGGAGGCAATTTGCAGCCTCTGCTGGCACACAGTTGGTATCAGAACAGGGTGACCGGAAAATGATTTGCCACCCCGATATTCCACTGGTGTGCGGGCAAGAGGAGACACAGGGGCCCTGCAACACAGACATTGCTTTAACATGTGGGCAGGGCTGGAGGAGCGCTCCTTTTCTCACTGGAACTGATCAGGTACGTGTGGTGGCTCATCTGACAGTCAGAGCCTCTCTTTACACAGGATTGAGCCAGCTCTGTGTTTTTTACAATTTCAAAATATAATTCTGTCCTATAAAAGACACTTCCCCCTTTTACAGGACTACATATGCACATATTCAGTATGAGTAAAAGTGTTTCTTGTTTGTCTGCCTTAACTCATCCAAAAATAATTCATTCTTTTTAATATCCCTTCATCCAGGGCTATTTTTAGGCAGGAATTCAGGAACAGAGTTCCGGCTGGCTACGCCCACTACAGCCCAAACCTCTGCATGCGTAGCTACAGAGGGAAGGCCTGGAGAGTGACTCTCCCCCAGCGACTCCAAGGCGGGCGGGCCAGGGGGGCCCCTGGAAGGATCAGGGAGGCATTTAAGTGCCTCCCTGTGCCTCCCCTGGCCTGCCCAAGGGCCGGCTTGTCCGGGCAAGCCAAGGGAAGGCATGGGGGTGTGGCCTAATAGGCTAATTAGTTTCTGCTATTGGGTGTAGCCTATTATGCTAATGAGTTCCTGCTGGGCTTTTTCTACAAAAAAGTCCTGTATTTAACAATTTTGTTATTTCTCATGTCTTCAGGATGTAGCAAGGGCAGCCAGTGCTTTGATAAAATGAGAGGTTTGCCAGCAGAGTCACATTGGCTACCTAGATCTTTCTTTAGCCAGGCTGTGGACAGAAGCCTGCCACGCCCTGTCTAACCGGGGATTCCCAATATGGGCGCCTCCTAAGGGTTTTTGGAAAGTGGGTGGAGCCAGATGGAGCTTTTCTTCAGCAGGGCTTCTGACTGACCATGCAGGTTTTTTAGAAGTTGCTTTAGCAGCAGCTGCTGCCACCACAACAGAAGGATCTTCACTGCATGATGGACAGTAATTTCTCTATGCAAGGAAATATTTTAAAACCATAGTTCATTTGAAAAGTCATCCTGTTAAACCCCAGCTTCTGCCTGAAATGTTGAAGAGTTACTATTTGACTTACACATGACCTCACTCTGTGCCATTTTGTGGTTGGCTCCAACTCTTGTAGAAGCCATTTTGTGGTTGGCTCCGCCCCCTCCGGCAGGCATTTTGCAGTTGTGCCCACCACCCTGTCAGATGACAAAGGTACACGTGGGCTGAAAAAAGGTTGGGGACCCCTGGTCAAACCAGTTTTATTCCACCCTTTCTCCAAGGAGCTCAGGGCACCCTACTTACCCATTTAATCTTCACAACAATCCTTTGAGGTAGGCTGGACTGAGAGTGACTGGTCCAAGGTGATTCAGTGGGATTTTGAACCAGGATCCCCCTCAGTCCTAGTCTGCTACACCACCTTGTCTTTCCAAGGTGATGACTGCAGCTCACCCCCAAATGACTTATGTTGTGCAACTCCCAGCCCCAAACAGAATTGCCTTTAACTTCTTCCCTCTGCCTTTCAGCCAACCAGGATTGAAGCAGTGCCTCTCCCACGGGCAACGGAGACAGTGGATGTGAGCCGATTTGGACGGACCCCCAAGCTAGATGTGCCCAACCTCATCCAGCGTAAAGCCATCTCAGGTAGGTGGGCAGAGAGAGACAGAGGAGCCCTTGAAGGAAATTAGCCTAGTCTTGGGGCCCTGCTTCTTTCAGCCACATCCCAGTTAAGGAACCAGGGTGGTTATTGGTCATTGTATCAGACTATGTCCTGGGAGACCTGGGTTCAAACCTCCGCTCTGCCATGGAGCTGGCTGGGTGACCTCAGAGCAGCCTAGCCTTCCTCACAGGGTTGCTGCAAGGGCAAAACGAGGAAAGGAGAACTTCATACATTGCTCTGAGCTCTATGACCCTGACCTGGATAGCCCAGACTAGCCCGAGCTTGTCAGATCTAGGAAGCTAAGCAGGGTTGGCCCTGGCAAGTATTTAGAGGGGGGACCTCCAAGGAATGCCAGGGTTGTGACACGGAGGCCAGCAACGGCAAGCCACCACTGAAGGTCTCTTGCCTTGAAACCACCACGGGGTCGTCAGAAGTCAGCTGTGACTTGACGGTACTTTCCACCACCACCACCACCGAGCTCCATGGAGGAAAGGTGGAATAAAAATGAATGACTGGATAGATTAAAAGGGCATTCTTTCACACTCTGGTGTGATTACAAGACAGAACCCAAGACAGGGTTACACCAATAGGGGCTGTCTCAGTTCTCAGCGACTCCCATTGAGTACTGTGGGGGGGAGCGTTGCTTTTGTTGAGGCACTGACCTCAGTGATGGATGGGAGCAAGCGGAGTGGGTTGGAGAAGTAGCAACTAAGAGGAGGGGAAAGGCTTGACACGATCCAACCCTCCCCTTCCCATAAAACAGAATGGTTGTCTAGTTAATGGAATGATCACTGCAGCTTTTGAGCGTGTGCAGAATGCCATATCCTGTCTGCTGAGCAAGTGCCGCCATACCCTTAGAATTAAGGAACGGCACTGTCTTGAAGGACAGATGGCAGCACGGCCACCTAGGCCGGAGCCCCTGCACCTACCTCTCTCTGAAGAACCTGAGAGCAGGACAGCAGCTACCTCATCCATTTCATGCATGCCGCACCAGTCTCGATCCTCTTGGGCTGCTCCTTCACCTAAAAAGAGGCCCTGCCTCTCAAGCAATCAGGCCCTCAAGTCACCACGGCCCACTTCACAAGCTAACTGTAGAACCTGGAAGGATTCTCCTCAGAACTTGGTTGTGATCTCGTGCATCCGGATCATAGATCTGGCTTTATCTCTGTTGTTAATGCAAGAGTTTCAGACCTCTGGAACAGACTCCTGATCATGCAGGAGGTGAGGCAAAGTCACGGAGGCTAGAAAACCATCAGAGGAAATAATTAGAGATCCTCAGGTCATTTGTGAAACTTTAAGGCTACGCCATAATTGGTCCCAAGGCTTCCCTTTCCTTCTGAATTAAACATAGGAGCACATCTCCTAAATATTGCTCACTCTTTATCCCCAGTGGAGCCCACCCACTATGCATCTGCATGAGTCACTGTTCTGGGAGAGTCTCCTGTCAAAGCACACCCAGACAGAGCATCATGTAGGGATGCAGCAGGGAACCTCCTCTCAGGATGGAATATTCTGCTACATCAAGCACACTTGAACAACCTATTTATACCCAAGAACACAGCAAAATCATCCACCCCAAATTAAGCCCAAATGGAGCAGTGACTTATGAACAGATGGTAGATGTTCTGTGTAGAGGTAAATTTTGTTACATGTCTCCACCCAACAAAAGTCAATTCGTGGGAAGCCAGGCTAGAGTAACAAACCACACAGAGATGCAGCAGGCGTCTTACTCCTTGGATGGTACGCAGAGCCTTTTATTATTCCAGTCATTAGCAGTTGGGCTGTAATAATGCTAGTCTCTGTGCCACAGGAAGTCTCACTTCTGCACCACATGCTATTGAAGTCAGGTTCTCAGGCCAGTCAAACTTGGCTGTAGTCGCAGGTCTAGTTGCATGCTGGATTTCAGCGCCCCCAGCCAAATGGATAGCCCTCAGGCCCGCTAGCTCAGTTCACGACTTTTGCCCAATTACTTTTGGAGCCGAGTCCTCTTGATTCTGCCTATGATGAGCCTTTGCACCTAAAGCTCTCTCTCTCCTCCCCAGGGTATACTGGCTTCATCCCCCGCTTCACCTGGGTTATGGGAGTCAACTACCTGAAAGGAGTCAAAGATGCTATGAATGAATTTGACTGCAATCAGGTAAAGCGGATCGCAAGGAGTAGGTGGAGTTGGGGTGGCTGCTGACAATTATTTTGTAGCGGAGGGTGGGTTACAGAAAGACCTAGTTTTATATCCCCCCCCCAGAAAACCCTGCAATTGGCCAGAACGAGTCACCTCAAGAGGGTGGTTTGAGGGGGTTCCTCCCTGCAGCCCTCACCCCATAGCTGGACTTCTAGCTTGAAAGCAACCGGCTGAACCAGCCCTCCGTTTCTGCTTTTCCTCAGAGGGAGGCTCGCGGGAAAAGGCTCATCTGGTTGAAAAGGAGTCCATAAAGGCAGTCAATAAATCAAGAACAAACCACTCTTAATTGGACAGGGGTTGGCTCTGCAATCCCAGGCTGGACCTTCTGGCTGTGGCTGTTTTTAAAAGCTCTCTTGTCTGTATTAAAAGATGATGCCGGTTTTTTTAAGGCTTCAGTTCTTGCAAATCCTTGGAACTTGATTACTGTTACCCCATGACTCTTCACTGGGTATTTTAAACTTTGGATTTTCTGGTACTCATTTTAGCCTTGGCTTGCAAAAAGTTTTAAGACTGCTTTTTACGCTGTTAGAACAAAGCCGCCCTTGTCTCTTATCTGTGATTTATTGTTCAGTGCAATTTTATTTTGGAAACTAACTCCAACACCCTCTGGAGCTTATGCTATCTAAATATAGTAAGGCAAGCTGCAAAGAAAACGCAATGACAGATTGGCAGACTTAAGAGGGGTTGCTGCCTTTGCTTGCTGAGAAGCAGAGAAGCCACTGTGATTAACCAATGGACCGGGCTTAGCATCAGGCAGTCCATCCCTGCAGTCACATAGCGAGACCATGAAAAGTCAGTTCAGGGGTTGCAAATCTTCTTTCACCTTTAGGACAGCTGGAAACAGGAAGTACCGGCCCTCCCCAACCCTGCCAATTTACTCTGGCACATTGGTAGAATCTCCCCAGGCATTGGAAGCTTGGGGCACCCCCTCCAATCTTTTGCACGCTAGAACTGTATTGGTAGCACTAGCAGATGATCAGTCTCCCCTAAACTCAGCTTTAGTATGGAAGAGTAAAAAATTTTGGCAGTCAGGGGAGACCCCCACACCTTGAGTTTCTGCTGTTCTGGAGGCCTCCTGAATGAAGCAGCAACTCATACAGAATTTGTGTTAGGAGCAATTGTGGCTCTTTCGATGACATGAGGTATAGAATGCCTTTTCCCTTTGCATTGGATGCTAGAGAGCAATAAAACATGCAGAGATGCAGTAGGCAGCTAGACTTTTCCCTTTTCAGAGAACTTTAATGCGCTCTTCCACTGTGGAGGGAATGGCCACCTTCACCACTAACAACCAGTTAGAATAAAGGCCAGACTGGAGATGCCATCACAAATACCATCTTAACATTTTATGCAGACTCGAAACTAATTAAGGCAGTGTTAACTGTTTGTGTGTTATTTTATGCAGACTCGAAACTGGTTAAGGCAGTGTTAACTGTTTGTGTGTTATGACAGCCATGGAGGAAATGACTGGTTGCTTAGGTCTTGGGCCTAGGAATCTGAGGAGCTGCAGTAAACTTGCAGCCTTCATTACAGGAAATCGTGCTATCAACATAAACTTGCATTGGGTTTCCAGAGCTCCTTAAGGATTAGGACCTCCATATATCCTCTGCAGGAACTCCAGAGCAGGATTTCACCCTCTCATTTCTGAAACTGTTAATGCACCATTTGCTTAGAGTTGTGTAATGTGCTCCAGCCCAAGATAATATATTCTTACTGCTGTCGATGCTAATTAATCTCAGCAGTACCAAATCTAAGACCAAGTACTAACAAGATTTACTGGAGGACTGCTGGGATACAATCCCAGTCAAGCTACCATTCTCCACATAAGGTTGATAGAAACGGGGCCAAGACTTGACCCCGAGCATTCCATTTCTAATCTAGGACTACATGAAAAGGCAATACACCTCCAAATACCTGCTGCTGGCGGCAACAAGAGTAGGCCTTTATGCCCTGCTTGTTGGCTTTTCCAGGGCAGCTAAGCTGACCATTGTAGGGGGAAGATGCTGGATGGATCAAATCCTAGACAAGCCTGGTCCAGCAGGTATCTCATTCTTCAGCTACCTTGGAGGAATTGACTTAATTGGCTATCTGAACACACTCAATGCCAGTGTTGACAAGCAAGAACACCAGCCAACCTTACCAGATCTGGGTAGATAAAAGCGAATAGATTGGAAACCACAAAAACAGAATGCCCATCTAGGAGCAACCATGTTTGTCACTGAACAATGGAGTTCAGTGGAACTTGGGAAGACTTTCCTACACACCCTTATGCAATTTATTTAAGGTGTTGCACTCTTGTGGTCAGAGGCCAAACCCAGCAGTCCCCACATACCAAGGCAAAAAAGTTGCCACCTTTTGCCATCCAATCTCTCATTTGTCCTTTCACAGGAAAAGATGAGAAGCCCGCTGTACAGCTTTGGCAAGCGATTTCCCTGCACCTACTGGCCCAATACCAAGATTTACAACAGCCGAGGCCTGATTCCATTCTACACTGGGTTTGTGCCAAGTAAGTCAGCAACCAACACACCCAGCCAAGTCATAAAAGCCCAACCCACTTCTGAAGACAGAACATTATTCCAATAATCTCTCCCCCAATCACCCCTTTTGAAAAGATGTTGCCCTCTGGCTAAAGAAAGCAGATGGAAAAGCTAGGCTCAGTCACTCATCCCAGAATCAACAGCTAAGCTGGTACAACTTTCCCCCAAAGGTATCAGTCCAGACTCATTCCTGCCCCAGGCCCATACCCGCAGGTACCTTGAAAATGTACAGAAAGTCAACTTTCTATCATCTTTGGAGGTCTACTTCATTTCCTTTTGCAACAAAAAGGCCAACCTATCTATAATTCTAGAGGGGTAATAATGGCCACTTTTAAATATGGTTTCATTCCAACATAAACTTGTATGATACAGAGCCCACTATTTGGGTGCTGGCAGCTGAACAAATGGGCTCTCTAGGCCTTGAAGCTGAAATTAAACAGTTCACCTTTAAGGCACTACATATGTAGACACACCCACCAGCTATGTGGCACCTTAAGGCTTAAAAGTAATACATACTATTGCAGGAATGGGTTGCCTTCAAGATTGCCTCCTCCTGCTGTAGTTCACCTTGTTCTTGTCAGCAAGATTTGACAACCAAAAGCTTTTAATAGGTAGTCTCTGGCCACATTAAGGCACCTCAAGGACTGTCAATGGCTCGTTTTTAGATCCTTTACTGCTTTGAAAAGGACATCACAGCACAACATTGGCATTTCTGTGGTGCCTGTTCCTGAGAAAGGCAGCACCATCTATGAAGCAGATACAAGGGTTCTGTTCAGCAGCTCCCTATTAGCAAAAAAACCTCCCCTTAGGATCCAGCTCCAGGTTGTGGCAAACAATAAACTTTCCTCTTATTATTATTATTCAATTTCTACCCCGCCCACCCACTCAGCAGTAAGGCACCAGGTGTTCTACAGGAACCCAAAGACCTACATGAAATGCTGATGAAGGACTCTGCATTTGTTACATGCTCCCATTCCTTCTTGGGTAAGATTTAGATGAAACAAGCACACAGATGTCTGTTTGCAGTAAGCGCACGGGGGTGGGGGTGGAAATTGGAAGTTCTCTGGATACCCAGAGACACCCCCCTCCATTAGTTGTGAGGATCAACTTTATTGGATCTTTGCTTAAAAACAGTTAACAATCTGCTCCCAGCTCACTTTCCTTCTGCACAAGTCACTATTCTGGATTGAAAGGAGCAAAGCCCAGAACAATGACTCATGCAGAAGACAGCCTCCTCTGAAGGTGTCCTTCTGCTGCATCGGAATTTGGTTATCAAACTGCAACTAATGCAGTGCTGCAGAAGTAACTACTCCCACATAGACACGGGCAAATCTGATCACACAGGGATCAGTGGATAGCCTGCTCTTAAGCCCCAGAGGGACACAGTGACCTTTATTTTCAACGGCATCGTAGTGCGCTACATCCTCACATCCAAATTGCTTAGCTGAGGCAATGACACCACTAAAAAAACCAACTAGACACACCTTTGAAGCCTGTCCTGTCACCACACATTGAGTGAAAACAAGTCTGAGCAGAGACAGCTGACTCAAGTATGTCATTTTCCCAGCCATCAGGCACAACTATGCTTTAACCTTTGGAAACAGCACCCGGAAAGCTTATTACGATGAACTACTGCGGAGACAACAAGCAGCGTGAAAAAGCTTTTAATGTCTGTACAGCATCAGACAGATGACATCAGGAAGAAAGCTGGAAGAGCAGAACAAAAAAACCAAGAACAAGGTTGGAATGAATAAAGTCCATACAAGTTTTGAACAAAATTTACAGGTGTTAACAGCCAAGGTTTTAAGCTGCCTCCTCCTCTGCTTCTTCTTCAAACTCGCCCTCCTCCTCAGCTGTAGCATCCTGGTATTGTTGGTACTCAGACACCAGGTCATTCATGTTGCTTTCAGCCTCTGTAAACTCCATCTCATCCATGCCTTCCCCAGTGTACCAGTGTAAGAAGGCCTTTCGGCGGAACATAGCTGTAAACTGCTCTGAGATGCGCTTGAACAGCTCCTGGATGGCAGTGCTATTGCCAATGAAGGTGGCAGACATTTTCAGGCCCCGGGGAGGGATGTCACAGACAGCGGTTTTCACATTATTAGGGATCCACTCCACGAAATAGCTGCTGTTCTTGTTCTGCACATTCAACATCTGCTCATCCACCTCTTTCATGGACATGCGCCCCCTGAAAACAGCAGCTACTGTGAGATAGCGCCCGTGACGGGGGTCACAGGCTGCCATCATATTCTTGGCATCAAACATTTGTTGTGTGAGCTCTGGCACAGTCAAGGCACGGTACTGTTGGCTCCCACGGCTGGTGAGTGGGGCAAAGCCAGGCATGAAGAAATGCAGCCGGGGAAAGGGGACCATGTTGACAGCCAGTTTGCGCAGGTCAGCATTCAGCTGCCCTGGGAAACGCAGGCAAGTGGTCACCCCACTCATGGTGGCAGACACCAAGTGGTTCAGGTCACCATAGGTGGGAGTTGTCAGCTTGAGAGTTCTGAAGCAGATATCGTAGAGGGCTTCATTGTCAATGCAGTAGGTCTCGTCTGTGTTCTCTACCAGCTGGTGCACCGAAAGGGTGGCATTGTAGGGCTCAACCACAGTGTCCGACACTTTGGGGGAGGGGACCACACTGAAAGTGTTCATAATTCGGTCTGGATACTCTTCACGGATCTTGCTGATTAAGAGGGTACCCATGCCGGAACCAGTGCCACCCCCAAGGGAATGTGTGAGCTGGAAACCCTGGAGACAGTCACAGCTTTCTGCTTCCTTCCTCACAACATCTAACACTGAGTCAACCAGCTCGGCGCCTTCTGTGTAGTGGCCCTTGGCCCAGTTGTTGCCTGCTCCACTCTGACCTGTAAAACAAAAGCCCACTTGTTAATAGTCTGAGCTGTTGTTCTTTTAAAAAACATGTTAATAGATAGTCTGAGCTGTTGTTCTTTTAAAAAATGGAAATTAATGCAGATTATCTTTCCTCTGGGCCTGTCTGCCAGCAAGAGTCACCTTGTTTATCCACATGGTAACAGACTCACAGTTTCTTGGATACATACTGTCCATAAGCTCAGGGCTGGGTTTGGCAGTAGTTTTGTTCCAAACTGCACAAATGATCTCAGCCCCACCAGAGTACATATTAGCATGTCTGAGATCACCAGGCTCCCGGTTCACACCCTTGAATTCCTCATACAAATCAAGATCCTGGTAAGGCTCAAACATGTAAGAATATCGAAGCCAACCCTCATTTCCAAGATGAACACGCCCTCTGGCACAAATCTTATGCAAGCTTTAAAACATATCCCCTGGCAATTCTGCAGATTTACAGTACAGGGATTTTAGTGCATGTCATTTTCACAAGTATGACAATAATGCAGAGTCCATGAAGATGGTTTTTCCAGCCCAGTTCTTAAAAAATGTTTCATTGCCATCAAGATCAGGTGCATGCATTATATAAAAAACGTTTTCTGCACTCGGTTCTACACAATAGAATCGAGAAAGCTAGAAAGTTGGCAATTGTATCAAGAAATTTGTAAAACACCAAATAATTGTTTTAACATACTTCAAGATGTCATATAACCCCCCAATTTATATTTGCTCTCCCCACATCACTAAGATTGGGCAAACAGGTTTAAGGATTCGTGTTTCAGTTGTTTTCGGCCACCACAGCAAGACCATATGCTACCCACCAAAGACAAAGTTATCTGGGCGGAAGATCTGCCCAAAAGGGCCAGAGCGCACCGAATCCATGGTCCCAGGCTCCAGATCCACCAGCACAGCCCGAGGGACATACTTGCCGCCTGTGGAAGAAAGACAGCAATGTTAAGCAGAGAAGCTGATTAAAAAAAACCCCATTTCTAAATATGAAAGCACAGAGGTGTGCTTGTGCCACTCACTAACCTGCAAGGGCCGTTCCAAACCAGCAGGGGGGCACCCTTGGACTTTTACTGCTAAAGACATTTGGCATAAGCTACAATCCCCAGAAATCAATGGCTACTGCATAACAAGTTCTTACTATGTTATCTTTCTAATGCCCCAGAACACATTCTTATTCCTCAATATGAAGCATGCTCAAAAACGTTCACAACCACCACCACCACGCCAAAGAACAAGTCACAGTTCCTTCCAGAAGCCATTCAAGGTTTTTGAGTTTCATGAGGCTAGGCACAGAACAGAGTCCAATGAGCTGAAGGGCTGATTCCTCCTGGCTGGCACCCGTCCCACTCACCACCTCTGGATTACCTCATCAACTGACAAGTCCAACTGACATTAACTTCACAACTCCTTTTTCTATCCTTCCTACACCATTCCCTATCTGGCAACTTATTTGCTGGAGTAAACACTTCATTCCGTCTAAAGCCCCCAGAACCACATTCATACTGTTACTTATCAATATTAATGCTATACAGCACTTAATAAAACATAAGGACTACTTTACTTTTCAAGAACCTTCACGCGCGGTTAGACATACTCTGGGCCAACAGATCACACACTCAAGAGTGTCTACCTCAAATAACGGTGTGGGAGAAACAAAAAACGTTCATCCAAATATAACAAGGCAAAGCCGACCTCTTTATATAAGACCTTGATGAGAATTAAAGCGGTGGGAGAAAAGGTATTCCACTAATGCCCAGACAGGCTTTTAAATAATTACATCATGTTTTCCAGGCAGTCAACGCCGTGGGGGGGAGGAGGAGAGACACTTATGAAGTTCGTCTGAAATGATTAGGCCAGACCTGCTTTAGAGAACGCTTCAGCAGCAAAATAGGCTAAAAACACGAACAGTCATTCACTACTTTCCACATATACCAGGAATTTATGTCTACAGAAGGCGAAAGAGACTAGAAAACAGGTGCTGAAGTTCAACTAAAAAGATCGCGGTCTCGTTAGTATCCATAACAAAATAAGGACCGGGGGGGGGGGGCACTCCACTTATGGAGACCATCGGGTAAGCCGAAACCGAATTCTAGCGCCCCGATGAAAAGCACAAGCAAACCCCTCTCCGCGCGCGCGCGCGCGCCCCCCCCGCAAGGTCCTCACCAGTAGCCTCGTTGTAATACACGTTGATACGCTCGAGCTGCAGATCGCTGTCACCGTGATAAGTGCCGGTGGGGTCGATGCCATGCTCATCTGAGATCACCTCCCAGAACTAAGACGCAACGACAGAAAAATTAACACACGGGAAACCCAAATTAAAACTAACAGGGCCTCAATCGAGGCCTCTGATTCCCCAGCCCGGCCACCTCCTCCGCAGCCCAAGCCGCACCTTAGCGCCGATCTGATTGCCACATTGGCCAGCTTGCAAATGCACGATCTCCCTCATGATGGCGGATGTCCTAAACTGCTTCCTCTGATCTCGTTGGCGGCGCGGAGAATACTAACTGCGTCAAGGTAACGGACGCAACTTTATATATTGAGACGCAAGAAAGTAGGCGGGCTTTAGTGGCTTGCGCGCGCGCCTGCAACCTCGCTCCACCTCTACTTCTGTGTGTCTATTGGACGGTAGCAACCAGACAACGACGACGATTGGGTAAATGCGCTGCCAATCTTAAATGATATTAAAACGAACACTTTTGGCTCGAGCGCGTTCTCCCCCCCTTCTCTTTCATTGGTCCGTTGCAACGGTCGACTCGAGAGTCGGATCCTTCCTCCTCCCCGCCTATTGGCCCGTTGCAACGCCCTCCCTTTCTACTAGCGCAGTGTTTCAACGGTTTTTCCCTGTTGGATTATTTGAATTATTGATAGCGACTGTTGATTGGCTCCTTCCATAGTGAAGCGGGAGGAAGGAGGGTTAGCGCGAGAAGAGTATCTTAGTAACGGTCGCATTAAAAACAGGCGCGAAAGCGCGCGCGCCGTTGTGCTCCGCTAGTAACTTATCGAGCTTATTCGTGATGCTTACTACGCTATTTCTGGAGGTTACAGGGTATTGAGCCTTTACGTTGTTGGTGTAATGGCTCGATACCTTACAGGCGGTTGCGGGGACGCGTAACCAAGGCTTCTAATACCAATGGGATCTAGTACCACAGGAATCTCCAAGGAGGCCTGCTACAAAAACTAGCCAGGGTCCCAAAACACACTCCACGCAGCCATGGCAACTGTCTTAACACTTCTCTCTCATAACAACAGTATCATTCACTGCCACAAATGTGGCCTAGAAACATTTGTAAATACATACACGTCAGATTGCTGCGCAAAGAAAATAGGCAACTGATTTAGCAAGCATTAGACAACATAAAAAGAAATACAACACAGGTAGGATGGAGATAGCAGTAGCTTCCTCAACCTCACTTTCCAAAACAATTTTAAAGACTAAATTCCACCATCTATTCCCCCTCTCCAGCACTTCGTATTTCCCCATTTGGGTGATGTTAGGTCACTCAAGGGCTCTTAGCTTGATCTACCTCCCAGGGTTGTTGTGAAGATAAAAAGGAACAAGAATTGTATAAATCACTTTATTCTCATTGGAGAGTAAGGTAGGGTATAAATTAAGTAAATACATAAAGGGTCTTGGGAGCTTAAAGACTATTCCGGTGCATCTCTGCAAGAGTGGGGGGGGGGGAAGCAAGGCTGCTCTTAACCCTTACCAATCTGTCAGTACCCAAGCCCAGGTCTCTTCCCTCTTTCAAAATCTGGCTGAAACTATGCAAACTGAAATA